CTCCTGCGCGTGCGCGCGCCACCTCCGCCCGCCTCAGCTTCCCTCCGCACCCCCCGCACCCCCTTTTTCCAACCTCTTCCCTCCCACCTCGGCTCTCCGTAGCGTCCTGCCTCCAACATTCACCCCAAACACCCCCCCCAGCTCGGACACAACGAGCTTTGCTCTTCCCCAGCCGCCATCCGCTGCTCCGTCCTAAATCGTGAAGGGCAGAAAGCACCAAATGGCCTCCCTCAGGCAACCGCGCCTTGCCCCGGGCGGCAGGAGACAGCGAGCGGTGGGAAGGTGCTGGAAGCGACCGATTTGCGCACCATGCAGCCCAGGAGTGGCACGCGGGGAACCTCTGCCCCGTGGAGCGACGCTCCTGTACGTCACCTCCACCCATACGCTTCGCCTACCTCAGCCGCCTCGAATCCCCGAGGCTCATCTTTCCGAAAACACAGGAACGTTTATTGCGTGGCCGCGGGTTTAGCGAACCCACCGCAGTACACTAAAAGCCTCCCCAAGCCTCACTCAAGTGACAGCAGCACCCGCACCATTTCCCAACTGAGTTTCCACTCGAGGCAGAAACCGTGGCCCCGGTGCAATCTGGCTGCTGTCTCCCCCTGAACCAAGGAAGAACGATGGCACCGTTATCCCAGGCTGACCCAAAGCTGGGGCCGTAACGCAAACTTTGGTTGGACTTGATGGTCTTTTCCAACGAAAACAGTTCTGGGAGAAGCTTTGTGCGAGCGGTTATAGTGAAACGCACACTACCATTGCAATAAAAAATCACGAGGCAGCATTCGGGAAAGCTCTTTGGTTGGTGAGGGCGTTACAGCCACCCTCCACCTTCTGGGTATGTTCTTTCGAAGGACCTTCAAGACGCAATTTCATCCTCACCCCATTCTAACTAAGGGAAACTTTTTGTCCTGCCACCTTTTATCTCCACATCCTCCTATCAATCAAGTTTCCCACATTTAGCCTTTCCTCCTGGTGCCTTCTCCCTTTCTCGCTCATACCCTTTGCCTTTTGGAATAACCGTGCTTTCTCAAGTGATGTACTTGGGCCGCTTGATCTCCCCCGGCTTTCATCCAGACCACAGCCCCAGCCCCTCCGGATCCAACCCTGTGTGATCTTCACCACAGCTAACGGTGAAGTCTCCTCAGGCGTTCAACCCGGCACAGCTTCAAGGCCTTCGGACTTCATTAAACTGACCTAACGGCACGTTAGCTCCACTGGGTAGTTTTAGAAGAACCCTACCTGCGTTCTGATTGAAGTCCCGAGCAAATGCAACATTTCCATTCATCTGTAGAGGAGGTGAGCAGGAACACGTAAACTCTAAGCTTACGGCAGTGCATCGGGATCGGCTGCGCTCACTGCATTCGGACAGAGTAAGCGATGCAACTGAAATTCCCGAGGGTTACACAGCAAACCCATCACCCCAGCAAACCTCTCCCAGGCTGGCGGTCTTGTTGCAGCCTTCGCTATGCGATAGGAAGGATGTGTTAGCCCCGTGCTACTTTGGGTAGGATCTCGTTAAGGAAAGCCTCTGTCCCAATCCCACAGTCTTATTCTGCTCCTCGCAGGATGAAGTCTTCTCTGGGATATCACACTATCAATTCTAAAGCAGGATCCAATTCCTGAAAATCCCCATAGTCATTGATCTCTTGCAGAATGCTTCAATGACAAAGGTATTTCAGTCTCATTTGTAAATATTGACGTTTCTTCCTTCCACCTCAGTGGCAGGGCCCTGGGCCAGGCCTCAGCTCGCTCTTGCGGTCCAGGATGAGAGCCAATCGAGAAATCACTGCCACCCACACGAGAAGCAATGCTCTGTACTGTTTGTGAGACGAGTGCCAAACGAAGCAGGTAAGCAGTTACAGCAGAAAGAACGTTTCTCTCCAGCAGTTCACCTCCTCAATTTCCAAGTAACAATACTGGAGGCTAAGGCCCTTTCTTAACACCCCGTTGAGCTACTTCAACTCGCTGAAGGAGCAGGAAAGTATCCACCTTTCTAAGAGAGCGTAACTGGGCAGCAGCGGTTCGGCGGAGCGAATCCCGAGCGCGGTTTCCTCTCACACCTATGCTAGCATTACAGGTAGCACCTACTGAAAACAGCAGCCCCACTTCACCTCCCTTCCAGGCGTGCCTTCCTGTCTCCTCCTTTGTACAGAACTTTCTGCAAGTTAGCTTTCTGAACTGGGTCACTGCTGGCAAGAGCCAGCGCTGGCATCGGGAAAGTGGAAGGAACTCCCAGCCTGGAAGAAGAAGGAGGAGGAGAAGATCAGGATGGCTCCCCTGTTGCCCAGCCTGCCATTAGCTCAGCCCTAGCTGCGAAACGAGGCCACGGTCTGACCCCACTGCCACTCGAGACCTAGGTACATAGTTAGCTTTCTGAACTGGGTCACTGCTGGCAAGAGCCAGCGCTGGCATCGGGAAAGTGGAAGGAACTCCCAGCCTGGAAGAAGAAGGAGGAGGAGAAGATCAGGATGGCTCCCCTGTTGCCCAGCCTGCCATTAGCTCAGCCCTAGCTGCGAAACGAGGCCACGGTCTGACCCCACTGCCACTCGAGACCTAGGTACATCAGCCCTTTTTCCTTCAAGGGAAATACTGGAGTTCATGGGGTAAACTCAGTTCTGCAGGGCCCAGGACAACCTCGTGCTCGACAGAGTTGCACTTGACACTGACAGAGGTGTTTTCCACCGTCTGAGGCAGATGCAGTTCGCGTTCTCTGCCCTGAAGGCATTCAGCCTTCATCCTCACATTCCACCCAGCCCTACTTTCAGGGAAGCAGCAGGGAATTACATCTTTGGCCTATCACCGCTGCTTCCTCAGCCCTCTCCCCGGTTTCTTTTTGTCCTCAAGTTTCTGATCAAAAAAGAACCCCCCACATAACTTCAGAGAGCATCCTATTCTCCCCTTCCTAACCACAACAGCCAGGCACTCTGTTCCTTGAACCGGGTAACATGGAGCACAACGGCAGCCAGTCCCCGACACAGAGTACGCTTGGGTCCAGGCCTGGGAAGGGGGCAAGATCTGTGCTGGTTAAGTCTTGCTTAGGGCAAGACTTAAAGAACAACTACAACAAATGGTGCTCTTTGTGCTATCCTCAAGCTACACTCTAAGCTCTGTTAACGCCGTGATCTGCCTGTGGTATTGGTAGGTAGAAACGCTGGTGGATGTGACTGTGCAGTCGCGTCACATTACGATGAGTTGACACTTGCGGGTAAAGAAAGTGGAAAAATCTGAGCCTAAGGAGGATCTCCTGTATTCCATCTGACTTTCCCCCCTTGCCACCTGGCTTGAATACTTGCGCTGTAAATTATTACTGCCTGTACTACTCGACACAAACATACACATACTGCAAGCCACCCCCATGCCGGAGGGCACAGAAATATCCACTACACTTTTGAAGAAGGAAGCACAAAAATTACCCACTAGACTGTGAGGGAAGAAAGATCAGGCTGTGGTGAACAGATAAGAAACAAAAAAAAAACCCAGCCTGCAAAAAACATCCCCCGGGGCTCAAAAAGGTTCAAAGTGATTTATGTGCCCAAAACAAACCACGTAAGCCAATAAAATTTACAAAACCCAAAATAGTTTTATTTGCTTTTCAGATTTCTGCCTCAGTGAGACATTTTGCAAACATGCTAAGGCTACAAAATGTCCAAGTTGACAGAGACATGCAACGCTGACCATTCAGTAAGTCACGGCTATTACAGGAGCGACCGTGCCCGCCCGGGCCACAGGCCCCGTGAAACAGGGATGGGGTACAGTGATCGTGGCAACGTACTACACAGGACCTAGTAACCTGAGGTAGGTCTCTTTACAGTAAGAAAACAATGTCCTACACCAGGGTTACATCCTGATCAACAGGAACCTGTTCAAAGTTCCAGAAGACGTGGGGTGGGGGACTGTTTCCTTAACAAGTGTGCAATAAAGAAACAGGAAATATTAATGTTGTTTAACCTTATAATAAGTGAGCAGAATAAGGAGTTAGTGTTACCCATGCCAATGAAAGCCAACCTAAACCTCCGAGGACTGTTAGCAGCTTCAAGATAAAGGAGTCAGTCAGCTGAAGCGACTCTGAAAAGCCTTCCCTGCTAGCGTACAAGGTGAGATTCGAACCCTATGATTAATTTGTTACAGATCATTCCACGAACAGTTAGATTTTGGTTGTGTTAGATCAGCGAAGCAGGAAGAGCTTGGGCTTGCTTGCATTAAAATAAACCCTGCTGAGACAGTGAGAAATACTGTATCAGGACACTGAGAAAATACGAGGCCTTAATGTGACCCAGAAGTGGTTCTCCACTCAGGAGATCACTAAAAACCCTGCTTTGGGAAAGCATGACGGGAAGCAGCGGCCGCTGCCGTGGTGAACATCAGCAATGTTCTAAATAGCTTTGATAAATTACAATGCAATAGTTACACCACAGAGCTCTTCCCCCCTGCGCTAGACAACGAAGATGTGACAATAAAGGACACTATTGCAAAGCTTCACTTCCACTCAGACACGCAGAAAATCCGGCACTAGGAAAAGACCAGCTGTAAAAGACAAAACGGTGTCTGATACAGTCTGATAGCAAAGCCAGATCTCTGGTACCGTAAACTGTACAAAAATTATAGAAAAGAATATGCACTGTTATTAATACAGTGCGTATTTTAATATAAAATAAACAGCTTACATTTCCACTGTAAATATAGGCTATATACAGAAATATGTATAGATATAGCTACATGTATAAAGCTTCATTATAGGCCTCTGATACATTTATAACTATGGCTCCCTGAGCCATTTGTAGAGTGCATTTAATGACAAAAAATTAGTAATATGATTATGGAATAAATACAGTAATAAAAACATGAAGAATTCTTCTGACACGGTTTTAAAAACAGTCTGGCTTAACACATTGTGCTAAAAATTAAAAGATGAAAAGGCAATAATCTGCTTGAAGGAGAAAAAGAAGGAGGAAGAGCTGGCCTGCCACAGGCAGGGAGCGTAGCTCTCCGAAATGAAAGTGACTTTGCCCTGAATTTTAGCCCTTGACAGCAACCTTGTTCTCCGCAGCAGCAAACATAGCATAGAAGCGCGAGTTCTCGTTGGCCAGAAGGGCAGACGGCATGTCGAATTCCACCACCTGAAAGCAAACAAGGCAGGTGAAGTACATCAGTAAAATCCCTCAGAAAATGGATTCCCACCCCTTGGGCTTGTGACACGGTAGTAAAGAAGCCAAAACACGGCATTTCTCTTTAGAGGAGACAACAGGGGATGAAAGCGTGCGCGTTTATGGGTACACACGGTAACCTGGGATGCTTCGGGCGAGCTCAAACGCTGGAACTACCCAGTGGGAAGCAACCTCGGGGGGCTCTGGCAAATAGAGGCAGATGCTACAGGGGTTTTGCCTTCTCTACCTTTAAGAGCCTTGCCACATGTTCTTACGTGTGATGTCACTGTTTATGGCTCCCACGTGGAAGCCTGAAAAGGGGGTAGAGTATCTCTCACACTCCTGTTTGACAGCACAGGGCTTCCTGAACACAATGGGAAACTGCCACTGAGCCCCACAGAGATGCTTGTGTTATTACCCTTCTCAGAACTGACCTAAAAAGGGAGTTTTAAAAGCACTTTTAAAAGAGACCATTACTCTAGTACACTTTAGAGCGTAAAAGAAATTTTGCCCTCTTTGATCTTGTCACGGTCAACCAATAAGTGATTCTATGGGAGTATTATTACCAAGGATGTGAATGAACACAGAGGATTTTCTACCCTGCGATACCAGCTGTTCCTTCAGTTTAGTCTGCGCATACGGCACCGCCAAAACTGCAGCCACAAAAGTCTTTCTGCTCACCTGTCCCTGTGTTAGCACCATGATCCGATCGGAGCCCAGTACCGTATGCAGGCGATGAGCAATTGTTAACATAGTGCAGTCTGCAAATGCCTCTCTGATGGTCTCCTGAATCAGTAGATCTGTCTCTGTGTCCATAGCAGCTGTTGCTTCATCCAGTATCAAAATCTGAAAGCAGCACATAACCCTGGTTGTTACCCATAGTGACACTTTCTCTTCCTGAACACCAAAATAAGCAGAGTGGGCAGCAACACCATGACCAAGACCTGTCACAGCTGGCAATCCTTACGGAGCTGCGGTCACAGAGGTAGTTTGTACAAGCACCCTTCCAGTTCTTTGTGTAATCACCTTCAACAAAAAGGTACTCTATGGATCATACTTGGATTTTTATGGTCACATCTTAGAGCCACGAGATGTTTGGGGTCTGATCTGGGCCTCAAGTTCCCACTGCTTTCAGTTTTACATTAGGCAGCTAAATCTCAAACACAAATTTCACTGGTAGACTGATCCGACATCCTCGGTGGTGTCGTTCCTTCTGGAATGAGTCAACACGGACTAGGCTAACCAGCTTTCTTCTGCTGGAAAGAATTACCCTTCCTCTCAGACAAACTGATGTGGAGCGGTGTCTTGTAAAGCTAAACCAGACTTGTTTTGTGCATGTTACAACTAGACTTGTTTTGTGCAGGGCGCAGTAACTTCTGCTGAGAAGTCTTTAAAGCAGATGCAGGGTGAACCTTAAGGGTTACAGTGTGCAGGCTTTAACAAAAAAGCTGGCATAGCACGGTCCCAAATCCCACTTGGAGACTACATTTTAGTGGAGCACCATATAGAAGGAAAATACTTGGCTGACATTGATAAAAAAGTGGAAGGAGGAAAGAATCTGATGCTCACGGGTAGCAGGACACTGAATAATTAGGCCAGCCTGACATCCCATTATTAACACTAACAAGCAGTACCTTTCTGATGGCAGGACATTACAGGAGCTAGTAGCCGGTTTCAGATGCCTTCCTAGTTGTTCTAACCCTACACCTCCCTGGGCCGCAGCAATTGTTGGTGTGATCCCTCTGACAGATAGAATGAATCTGGCACAAGAAAAGGCTTGCTCAACCCTATCCCTCTGATGTCTCCAGCTATTTATCTCATCGCTGTGCTCACCTTGCAACGCCGCAGTAGAGCTCTAGCTATGCACAGCAACTGCCTCTCTCCAACCGAAAAGTTTTCCCCATTCTCCATCACTTCTGAATCAAGTTTCATAGGCAGCTGGGCAACCTGTGTGGGAAAGAAGAGGCAAAAATCTTAGAGCATTGCACAGGCTTTTTGTATCTCCATGGCATGAGACAATCAGATTTGCAGGAGGAAATGACTGTGCCCATGTTCCAAAACATCTGTCACACTTTGCTGTCCATCTCTCCCTGTCTCTGTTGGGGAATTAGTAACGAGCAGCTAGCGCCTGAAGAGCAGTACAGCATCACAACTGCTCAGTCTGGTTGAAATGCCCGTGACTCAGCAACAGGTCCTGAAAACGCCACTAGGACAAAGTTAAAAGAGCTGTATCATCTCAGTAAGCAACCTCGTTATGACTTCAGTAGAAAGTATTTCATTCCTGGGGGGGGGAAAGTCTGCCATGTACAAAATCATATCAAAATGATTACACATCTCCCTTGGGCTTTCTCACCAAGATAAACAAGTGACCCTAGTCCCTGCAGGACTAACTGCAGCCTACGTACCACACCACTTGACTTGCAAGAACAGAACTGGAAGTGTCACGGCAACGGGGCTTGCTGCAGAGGGCATCGCAAAGGGCGGATTTTAAGTTCAGTATAAACGTGCACGTGTGGCGTTTACACTCGCAAATGGAAATGCAGAGTGCACACCTAAGGCACATATAGAAAAATGTAATTTACACAGATTCACAGATTGGCAGGGGTTGGAAGGTACCTCTAGGGATCATCTAGTCCCACCCCCCTGCCAGAGCAGGATCCCCCAGAGTAGATCACACAGGAACAAGTCCAGGGAGAAGGAGACTCCACCACCTCTCTGGGCAGCCTGTTCCAGTGCTCTGTCACCCTCACAGGGAAGAAGGATTTCCTCATGTTCAGGCTGAACCTTCTATTTTCCAGTTTATGGCCATTGCCCCTCATCCTGTCACTGGGCACCGAGAAGAGCCTGGCCCCGTCCTCCTGACACCCACCCTTTAGATATTGATAAGCATTGATAAGATTCCCCCTCAGTCTCCTCCAAGCTAAACAGACCCAGCTCTCTCAGCCTCATGTGGAAGGTGCTCCAGGTCCTGAAGCATCATCTCAGTGTCCCTGTGCTGGGCCCTCTCCAGTAGTTCCTTGTCCTTCTTGAGCTGAGGAGCCCAGAACTGGACACAACACTCCAGATGAGGCCTCACCAGCACAGAGTAGAGGGGGAGGATAACTCCCCTCGACCTGCTGGCCACGCTCTTCTTAATGCATCCCAGGATTTCAAATACTTTAACACCCTAGGAGTCTGTGTGAAGCAGCAGCACTGTGCTATGCTATATACTAAAAAAGTACACACACAATATATGGCATGGGCTCCAAAATGAGGAAAAAAACCCCCGTTGAATAAAGCATAGACAACAAGGGGAAAAATTGCCAACAAAAAGCTTTAGATAAAGGTCTCTGAAGTAGCTACTAACAGAACACGTTGGTTTGGAAGCCAAAGCACAAGCATGTATCTCATAGGGCACATAATACTTACACACTCCTTCATGTGAGTCCTTTCCAAAGCATCCCAGATTTGTTCCTCACTGTACTGATTGAAAGGATCCAAGTTTGATCTGGAGGGGGAAGCAGAGAACACAAGAATCTTTATTCAGCAATGAATGGCAAAGCAGCAGTGTGCCAGTTCATCCAGACAGATGATTCCCATTTAGCCTTCCACTGACAGAATTTCCTTGTCAGGGAAGTCAGATGCTCCCAGCACCCTAGGGTTAGAACTGCTAAAGAACAGGAGAGTAGAGGTGGGAGACAAAGATGTAAAAACTTCAGTCCAGTCCAAAGGGAAAGACTTGCGCAGAGGATGATCACATCCATTCTGCACTGGGACAGCTAAAATCCTTTAGCTGTGCTTTTTTTGTTTCAAAAACAGAACAGCAGCTAGGATGCCCGAGAACTAACACCTCACCAGACACCCCTTTGAGTTCAAGTACAAGCTGGTAGCCCGCTCAGTCCCTCTTACGGTCTCACTAACCTCACAGTGCCACTGAACAGCACGGGTTCCTGAGGAATTATTGAGAGTTTGCTGCGAAGATCTGCCAAACCGATGTCATTTATTTTCACTCCGTCAATTTTAATGCAGCCTCCAGACAGTTCAACGAGACGGAAGAGTGCCATTCCAAGGGAAGACTTCCCTAAAAATGAGACAGGAAAAACAATACTAGCATTTCTACAGAGTCATGGCAGCTTTGAGACAGGAATACCTTTTAAAAGCTTCCCACGTAAGACAAGTCTTTTAAAATACCATAAAGTCCTGACACAGAATGATGGTAAATGCTGGGGTTCAGCATTTAAACTTCTAAGCAATTGTAGGGGCAGCTCCTAATCTCTTCATGCAGAAGCCACCCCACTCCTACTAAACCTTGCCACGTAAACCCCAAACAGCAATATTAATTGCTTGTTTAGAATCTACATTTTGAAGTTAATTCAAGTCATCTCATAGACAGGGCGTTTGAGTTGTCACATTACAGGCTCCTGAGATAGCTCAGAGCCAAACCTGGACGCAGCATCCGTACCCAACACTTCTGAGAGAGTCAGATAAGCCCCCATGAGCATGTTGTAGGCAGCATTATGTGCTGGGAAGCAGCTTGGGGTGTTAAAGGTTTATTACGAGCATACTGGCTCAGGCATAGCAGGATTTCCTTCTACTTTAAAGGGACACTTGTTTAAATGGTTTCTGGGGATGCTGCTTACGTATGCACATGGACAGAATCCGCCACCGACAAGCTGCTGGACCACTCCTGTGCAATTAGCTATTTGGTCAAACACGGAGAAGACAGAGGAGAACCAGTAAGAGTGCCCCGCTCTATTCCATGCCCATTCTGTACACTGGAATTTAACTCTGCTCAGTGTTTTCCCTTACCTGAGCCTGTCCTGCCCACAATGCCAATCTTCTCCTTCGGTTTGATGGTAAAGGACACTTTTTTAAGTACTAGAGGGAGGTTCTCTCGGTACCGCATCTCTGCGTTTTCAAAAACAACTTCACCTTCCTGTGGCCAGTCCAGAGGAGGAGTTTTATTCTTAATTCGAGCAGGAGCTTCCAGGGAAAGTGTCTAAAAAAAAAAA